TTTAGATACTTTTTTTCTCTCAATTTGCATAGTTTTAGAAAAATAATGTAATACAAATTTTTGAGACAAATTTGTAACAAAAATTCTAAAATTGAGAGAAAAGAGTATCAAAATTTTTGCCCCCCCCCCAACTATTTTGATATTTTTTTTTTCTTTTAATTTTTTAATCTTGGAAAAACTGTGTAATAAAAATTCAAGAACTTAAATTTGCAAACAAAAATTTGAGAATTCATCAGTTTGAAAATTTTCCGAGTTTTATTGAATTTTTAAAATTAAATTTTAATTTCTTCACATCAAAATTCAAAAATTCTGAGAAAAAAGTATAAAAATTGTTGAAAGTCAACAATTTTAATAATTTTTTTACTCTCAATTTCGATAGTCTTGGAAAAATTATATAATAAAAATTCAAAAACTAAAATTTGTAAATCAAAATTCAAAAATTTTGAAAAAAAAGTATCAAAATTGTAGCGAGTCAACAAATTTGATAATTTTTTTTTCTCAATTTTGATAGTCTTGAAAAAACTATGTAATAAAAATTCAAGAACTAAAATTTGCAAACATAAAAATTCGAAAATTCATCAGTTCGAAAATTTTCCGAGTTTTATAGAATTTTAAAAATTAAATTTTAATTTCGTCGCCTTTTTAATGTAAATTTACCTTCTTCTCTATGCGTGTTAAGGAGAAAATTATTGTAAAACGTTTCGACAGAAAAATAATTCTTCCTTATAATAGTAAAAACTTCTTCTTCTTCTTCTTCTTCTTCTTCTTTGCAATGTTATATTAGACACTTGATGGAAAATTTTTGCATCAGCTTGTTAATGAATTTTCATATACCAAAAGTGGTTATACTTATAATTATACAATTAAGTCGTTACGAAAATTAAATATTTTATAAGTAAAATAAAAATGAAAACTGTATTGAATTTGAAATATTGTGAAAATTATAAAATTTACATACAGTATTTCTAATTTTAGATTTTTATACATAATTCCAAAAAAAAATTGTCCTTTTTTCAAAGCAATTTTATAGATAATTTTTATATATTATAAATATCAATTTTGCTAAATAAGACTCAATGCTACTTTCCAGTAAAAAATAGTAAAAAACAAAGAAATAGTAAAAAATAGTAAAAAAACAGAAAGGAATAGCAAAAACAAATAATAAAAAGTAAAAAAAAACGTAAAAGAAATAATTGTAGAAATTGATAATTATATTTTAGCAATCAAGTAAAAAAAAATCATTTGCATTGTACTTAGTAAAATGAAATATTTTCACAATTGACTGACGAAAAATATTGTAAATCCCTCGATATTGTATATATCTATAAATATTAAATAATTAAACATCACACACTGTATCCAAACATTAATTTCGATTTATAATAATTATCAATTAATTATTTTTAATAATTATAAATAAATTATCTTAATGTTAGTATGCGCTAGATTTAAATTTAACTATAAACTCCATATTATTGTAGTTAGAGAAAAAATTATTTCCAAATCAAGAAAATGTACATTATAGTCAAAAAAAAAAATGTCATCGATATGTATATTGTAAAAACAATTAATTTCCATTGTCCTAATTTTGATCGCATAATATAAATGCTAGTGAAAAATAATTATTAATTAATAAAATTTAGATGTAAATTTCTCAAAAACAAAAAATAAAAATATTGGCGTAATTGTAGTCAGTGAGGCAATTCTTATTATTAATATTATTATTGCCAAAAAAAAAGTGAATGTTTATAACATTTTTCAAAGTGCGTTTAAGGTGGTAGGGAATCGATTCCCGTTGATTCACATGTTTTTGATAAAATATAGAAATAATATTATTATAATAATAAATAATTCTGTTTGTGTTTTATTAAAAAAAAATTAAATATGTATGCAATTTTTTGTAAAATGAAGAATCTAAAAAAAATGCATAGTAAAATTGAAAAAATGTCGTACGTATAAAAAAATGTGTATATATATTTATAATTATGTATATTATAGGTGTGAAGTCAAAATTATTATTGTTGCTGAGTATATTTGTTGCAGTGCAATATTCCACAACACATCGTATTTGCTGTTGTCGTGATTTTTTCAAAAAAAAAGAGAGAGAAAAAAAGAAAAACTTTCTGTCATTAACGGGTTTTGTATTCGACGCTTGAGGTTTCATTCAACACTTTTCGAAATAATTTTTTTTTTTTATTTATTTCGACATAGGGCTGGGCAACTTATAATACTATTAACATTTTGTTAATTTATTAATATGAAATATATTCTGTATATTTCAATATATTTTTTTTGATAATAATTTCTATAGTTTAAATTTAGTGTTTGTTAAATAATTTATTTTTTAAATTTAAAGAAATTTATTATATGAACTTGGTAATTAAATTCGTATTTTTTAAAGGAGTGAAAATATATTTTTTTAAATAACGAAAAATTCATGTTGGATTTTCGATAATGTGATAGATTTTTGGTTTTTTTATTTAAAAAAAAGAAAATTGCAATGTTCAAAAAATTTGCTAATTGAAAATAATAGTAAAATGATAAAATATTTAACAAACACATTTGTGGAAGGACGTGAATTTTCGTATTTTATTCTTCACTTTCAATTTTTAAATTGAATTGAAAGAAAAAATTAGTTTACTGTGATTTACATTACACCGAATTTTTATTATTCGTTTTATTGTTCTCGTTTTAATATTATCTATGATTTTTATTATTAATTTATTTACTTCGCTCACAATAATTTTAATTTACTTAAATTTTTTTCTTATTCTAAATTTTAATTATGATTTTTATTAATTATTTATTTGTTTCATTCACAATCATTATTTTTTTGAACTTTTTACTTATTCTAAAGTTTTATTTATGATTTTTATTATTAATTTATTTATTTCACTTATAATCATAATTTATTTAAATTTTTTATTTTTAACTTTCATTTTTTACTTATTCTAAAGTTTTAATTAAGTTTTTTTTATTATTAATTTATTTCAATCACAATCAGAATTTATTTGAATTTTTTTTTAATTTTCATTTTTTACATATTCTAAAGATTATTTTAATGATTTTTATTATTAATTTACTTATTTCACTCACAATAATTCTAATTTACTTGAACTTCTTACTTTTTCATTTTTTTTTTCTCACAAAATTTGAGTGATTTTTTTCTTTTATTTTGAAGCATTTATTTTTTGAAAATATTTTTTTTAAATAAATTTTTTCAAAAATAGAATTCTTATTCAATTTTTGCTTTTTAGGGAATCAAAAATTCTGAAAAAGGCCATTTAATTGGAAAATGTAAAAATTAAAAGTTAAAAAATATAATAAATGGTAAAATTTGAGAAAAATAAATTAAATTATTAAATTTTAAAAATTTCGGTTAATTTAAAATTTACAATTAAAGTAAAATTTAAATAACAATAGAATAAAATTTAATTTTTTACTTACTCCTTATTTTCAATTAATTTTATTTCTCATAGAAAATATTTAAATTTATTATATTTTTCATTTAATTTTTTACTTATTCCATATTTTCCATTATCACTATTGTTGTTATTAATTTTTTAATTCACTCACAATCCTAATTTACTTGAATTTATTATTAATTTTCATTTTCTTTTTCAAATTTTAGTGATTTAACCCATTTGCTTATTTTAAAATAATTTTTTTCAATAAATTCTACAAAAATAGAATCTTTATTTAATTTTTGCTTCTCAAGGAATTAAAAATTCAGACAAAATGTCCATTTGATTGGAGAAAACGTATAAAGTGAGGTTTAAAAAATATGATAAAATGAAAAATTAGGTAAAATAAAGTTAAGTTTAAAATTAAAATAGAAATGAAATTTAAAAATTTTAATAATTAATTAAAATTAAAAGACAAAACTTAACATTAAATTTTGTAATCTAAAAATAAAAATTACGTTAAATTCAAAATTTGCAGTTAAAGTAAAATTAAACTGAAAATAGAATAGAATTTCATTTTTCACTTTTTCCTTATTTTTCAATTATCACTATTGTTATTATTAATTTTTTTTTAATTCACTCACAGTCATAATTCCAACTTACTTGAATTTACCATTTTTTAATTTTTCCTTCAAAAATTTGAGAGATTTAATCCTTTTGCTTATTTTAAAACATTTTTTTTGAAAATAGTTTTTTAAATATATTTTTCAAACATAAAAACAAAATTCTTATGTTCTAAAATCATATTGTTAACTAAATTATTATTAATTATTCTTAAAATATTTATTAATTATTATTATTTATTTCCAAATAAATTTTTTGTCTTTCAGGGAGTAAAAAAATCAAAGAATCTAAATTTACAATTAAAATAATATTAAAATGAGAATGAAAAAATTTGTGAAATGTAAACTTATTTAATTGAAAAACGTCAAAATTAGAATTTAAAAACTATGATAAAATGGAAAATTAGGTAAAATTAAATTTCATAATAGAAAAATAAACTAAAAAACTGTTTTAATTTCTTTAAAAATTTTGGTGAATCGAAATTTATAATTAAAATAAAATTAAAAAGAGAATGAAAAAATTGGTCAAATGGAAATTACAATTGTAATTCGGCTTTAGAGAAAATGAAGAAGAAAAAATTCGCTATTCATGCGCCTTTGTATTTATAACAAAATACCATTTTTTTTACAAATATAGTTAATAATATGAATTAAATAGTATCAATAAAATATGTTTTTCGATTTATATTCTAATGGAATTTTTTTTTCGCACTTTTATTGAATTTCAAAAATGAAAATGCCTGGCCCTAAACACAGCAAAATCATCCAATTTTCAATTGATTCATACAGAAATTCAATTTTTTGATAGAAGCATTCTAATATTTACCAAATTTTTGAACAAATTAAAGAAAAAAAAAATTCTTGAAACCGGTGATGGTTCTTTATTTTTCTTCTAAAAAAAAAAAATTTCCTTTTGTTTATTAAATTTCCAAACCATCGAATTCGTTTGACTGAATTGTGCGTTTGTGCGTAGGAGGGAATGATTCAACAAGTGCCCTGCAAGGTATTCGTGGGACGCTGTACCGAAGATCTAACTGCTGACGATCTACGTGACTATTTCTCAAAATTCGGTGAAGTCACGGACGTTTTCATTCCGAAACCGTTTCGTGCATTTTCATTTGTGACGTTCCTTGATCCCGAGGTGGCTCAATCGCTCTGCGGCGAGGATCATATTATAAAAGGTGTCTCCGTTCATGTCTCCAATGCTGCGCCAAAATCCGAGGGTAACAATCGTAATTTCAATAATCAAATGAATTCAAATATGCGAAGTCGCGGTATGCCAGGTGGACCAATTGATAATAATATCCAAGGGAATTATCAAGGGAATCGTTATATTGGTCATTCGGGCAATAATATGGGACCCAATGGCTGGAATAATCCGGGCAATCGTGGTAATCTCGATATGCCAAATCTTCAGGCATTGGGCATTACTGGACAGAATAATGGCGGTGGTGGTGGCGGTGGAATGTCAAATCAATTGGCAATGAGCGGTTTAAATCTTTCCACATTACCAGTGAATCCAGCATTGGTTGCCGCTGCATTGAATCACGCATCATGGGGTTTAATTGGCAATTTACAAAATCAGGGCAACGATCAGGGCTATTCGAATCAGCCGGGACCACCGGGACAGCCACCATCGGGAAATAATAGTCTTGGGAATAGTGGCAATTCAGGTTTTCTCAATTGGATGAATCAAGGCGGTGGCGATGGTAATTCCGGTAATCCAGGTTCCGCTGGTCCTGGACCAAATAATCAAAATCCATCGCAAGGCGCTTGGCAAAATCACCCCGTTCAGCGAGACGGCAAGTCGAATACATTTCTTAAGTACGAGTAAATTCCGTCGGGACTCTGAGTCTACTCGTAAAAGGCGGGCACGGTCCCTGAGTCCCGAAACTTTAGCATTGGATTATTGCAGAGGTCAGGAGAATCATTTTAAATATAAAAAACAAATTGGCCGAACTCTCAAGACTTTGGTAGATGGGAAGACTGCGAATGTCAAGACCAAAGCTGTGTCCTAGAATTTCAAACATTTATTTTCAATTATTTTTTTTTTTTCCTCTTCCTCATCATGATTGAGAGTTTGAGAATGAATAAATTGATGATTGATTATTTGATTAAAAAAATTCTTGTGAAAGAAAAAAAGAAAAGAAATAATTATAGTCTGATGAATGTTTTATATCAGATTTTCCAACGTTTTTGAATAATAATAATATTAATAATATTCTCGGATGATAATGATGATGATAAGAATGAGATGATTCTGATCTATGCAAAAATTTCAAGGCGAGAAAGTTAAAATAAGACGAAAATTTTTTTTTTTTGTCTTATTTGAATTGACATTTTTGTTGACATGATTCTTTAGAGTGGTAGTATAAATATATATATATGAATAGACAGGATAGCTGCGATTGGAGAGTTTTGAGAAAAAAATGAAAATTTTTTTCAAGAATGATTATGTCGATGAGAGTGATTCGGCAAATGGAGTGTATTTTTTTTGTTGATAATGCAGCAATTGGGAGAATGATTTATACGCTAGAGAAATAGCGTTTAGAATGGTTTGCAACCCGGGTGTAGATATTTTTATTTTTCCTCTACTTTTTTTTTAATTTCATTTAATTTCGAAGCTCAATATAAAGATTATTTCGATACAAACGGCGTTCATTACAATTGATGACTAGAAAAAGAAATTAAACAAAAAAAAATTTGTTTTCAGCTTTTTTTCTAAAAGAGCTTCAATTTTAAGTTTTTTTCTGTGAGATTTACCGAGTCATCAATTGTTCAGATCGCTTTTTGTCTTGGTCTTAATTTTGCTTTTTTTTGTCTTGCAATCATGTCCATTAAACAAATTGAAAATTATCAGGTACTTAAATTGCGACTTTTTATTTCAATCTCTCTTTTTTGTAATTGCTATATAGATGATTTTAAATTGTGTTCTCGAAAAATGTATATTTCAAGATTAGGTAAAAATTGTGTCGCAAAAGAGAGAGAGAGAGAGAATTTTTAATACTTTTCATTTCATCGATTTTTTGTACGTCAATTTCGTTATTTTGTATAAAGTAATTAATTTTGTAAAATTCTTACTAAACTTTTTTTTTGTAAATTTTGTAAATTTTTGTTAATATTTTTACAAAAAAACGAATTGAAATTAAGAAAAAAAATTGTAAAAGTTGAAAACTACAAAATATTTTACAAAATAAATTACGATTAATAGGAATTTAAATTAAACAAGCATTCATTGTCGAAATTTTTGTCATAAATAGAAAATATTTATGTGAATTTTTTTTAAATTTGAAAGAATATGAATTTGAATTAAAATTCGATAATTAATTAATTCGACAATTTTCTATTGTATTTGAAATAGTAATAGAATTAAATTATTTATGTGAAACAAATTCAAGTTCATGAATTGTTTGAAATTATTTCAAATTTATTTTTGTTCAAACTGAATATTTTTGCAAATTTAAATTTAAAATAATTTCCGAGATGAATTTTAATTGAAATTGTTTTATATATTTAAAATAGTTTTAAAAAATATTTCAAGCAGAATTGTAAACATTTTTCGAAAGTAATTAATTTTTTAATTTAATGGAAATTTTTACGAATATTAATTTTTTATTAACTGCGAATTTTAATAAAGTTTTAATCAAAATTAAATAAATTCATTAAATATTAAATCAAATAAAGAAATTCATTAAGTTTCAATGAATGTTTATTTAATGAAAATTATTTTCCTATTTTTTACGTCAATTTGGTTATTTTGTTAGGTATTTTGTAAAATGGTTTTTAAATTTCATTTGTAAATTTAAAAAAAAAATGAACAAAATTGTAAATGTGAAAATATTTTATAAAATATTTTACAAAATAAATTACAATTATAAGAATTTAAATTAAGCAAGCATTCATTTTGCAAATTGTGAAAATTTTTGTCATAAATAGAAATTATTTATGTGAATTTAAAAATTTTTTAAAAATATGAATTTGAATTAAAATTTAATAGTAAACTAATTTTTTCGTAGTATAAATAGAAAACTAATGTAATTATTTCCATAAATATTAGAATTAAATTATTTTTGTGAAACAAATTCAGTTTATAAACTGTTTTAAATTATTTCAAATTTATGTTTGTTCGAAAATTAATATTTTGTGCAAATTTTAATTTGAAGACAGTTTATTGGGTGAATTTCAGTTTTTTTTTGTATTTCAATTTAAAATTAATGAATTTAAAAATATATTTCTAGTAGAATTATGAAATATTTTCGAAAAAATTAATTTTCTTATTTGATGGAAATTTCTACGAATATTAATTTTTATTCTACGAATTTTTATACAGTTGCTTAAAAATATATAAAGTTCATTAAATATTAATATTAATAATATTATTTTAAATAATGATATTAATGTTATTAATATTAAATATAAAATCATAAATAAAATTTCGTTAAGTTTCGATGAATGTTTGTTTAATAAAAATCACTTGCGTATTTAATCATTAAAATTGAATTCAATTTATTTTACAAAAAATTGTAATTTATAGTGAATTTTTTTATACATTCGATTTAGTATCTATCCGGGTTCTACCATACTGATGATTAATCATAGATTTATCATAATAATAAATATACAAATACGAGAGTTTGCACCTAATAGTAATTTTCACAGTTTAATAATCGTTGCTTCATATTAAAAAAAAAACATGAAAAATAGAAAAGAAAGTAACTTGAAATGATTTATTATTAATAAAACAGAAGAAATATAAAAAATGTAGATTAGGAAAATGAAGATGTAATGTTTTACTTCACAAAGAGTGTAATTGTGTTTAAATGCTTGGATTAATTTAAATCTTTACCAAAATGTTTTTCAGACAGCATTTTTTGTAATCTTTCGTGTACAGTTGTCAGTCACCGTTAAATGTATTTCTTTATATGAAAAAAAAAAATATTTTGGAGTAATGAAAAACGCGAAATATCTTCATTATAAATAATTTCAAAACTCCAAAATAATTGCAATATATTTTCTCTAGTTTTAGAATAATTTCAGTGGGTTTGTTCTTTCTTTTACTTTTTGTTCGCTTTTCTTTAAAATGGGAAATATTCCCAAAAGTGCTTTTAATTTTTTTTCAATTTTTCAATTTGGTGTGAGAGTTGAAGAGAATATATTAAATTTTCAAAGTAAGAATACGTTTTTATTTCTTACATATATTGCGCGAGAGGAAAATAAAAAAGAAACAATCGCAGCTATCCAAGAATTATGGTGTGTAACTTTGACTTCTTTTGTAGATATTTAGTTCTTGTGTATGAAGATTTTACACTGGTGCGTAGGTGTGTCAAAATTATTGATCGGTTGTGTGTGAAAGATATATAAAAAAAAATGAATTGAATTGACTCTTTAAATGAGTTAGCTTTGATCGAATGGTTTTTGAATCGATGGTTTAAAAGAAATTAAAAACGAAAAAATAATGAGAAAAAAATGAAAAGAAAACACAAAAGCTATTTAAATAAAAATTTCATATTTACATTTTCGCATTGTTTTTTTTTCAGTGTAGTTTTTCATATTAAAATAATTGCCTTCTTATTTTTTGTTGTTTTTGCAAAATTTGAAGAAAAAAAAGTTTTAAAAAAATTCACAATTCACAATTGTAGTCAATAACTTTAACATACGCAAATCTCTACACTTGGAAAGAGAGATAAATTTAAAGAAAAAAAAAAATAAAAAATAGCTGTTATATGATATTGTATACTCCATTATTAATATTCAGATTAACTACTTCAGAACTTATTACCTTATGAGTAAAAAAATATTGAGAAATAAAAAATAATCCAGGTAAAAAAGATATGTGTGATGTTGTGTGTATCCTCTGTTAATAAATCTAGAGACGAAACGGAAAATTCGAAATGAATTTTGTGAATTCTTCGACTTTTTCAAGATTGTACTATTTTACATTAATCTCGTTTTCATTAATTAAATTTTCATAGTTTTTAATTTTATGTCTATAAAAAAATGTTATTAGATATTTATTATTTTAACTAGAAAAATAGTCAGAAAAACAGAATTTTAAAAATAGAAAATATAAATTTAGAATAAAAAAAAATTGGACAGTACAATTTTGAAATTTGGAAGAAATCACCGAGACAAAAGATTCGTCCTTCGATTTTCATTCTTGAATGATTAGAAAAATTTTGAAAATAGGAAAAAGCACGAAGAAGATAAAAGAAGAAAGCAAGGGAAATGTTTCGCATTAGCTGTAAATGGATAAAGAAAAAAAAAATTGATGTAATCATGGTGATTGGAATTTTTTAATATATATATTATATATATATAAATATAGGTATATATAGACTGAATTGAATATTATGCATGTGCTTTTGGTGTGGATGTCGGTTGAAAGTATTTGTTAATTGTCGTCTCATAACTACAGACGTAAATTTACAAGAAAAAAAAAATAGTTGGAATGTGCAAAAGTTATATTGAAGGGATAAATGAGAGTACAGTTGGGTTTACGATAATGAGAAGAAGAAGAATAAAAAATTGTCATATTGTTGAATGGATCTATAATTAACGAGAGAAGAAAACAAAAGTTTGTGTTGCTATTAATTTAAACGTGGTTGTGACGCGAAAAAAAAAGAAGTTTATTGTGCGTCTGTAATTTTTCATAATATACTGCCTGAGCAGATTATTAAATGTTTATATTTAAAAGAAAAAAACCAAATGAAAAAAGTTAAAAAAATGGAAAAAGAGAAGTTAGTTTGTAAAACAAACTCGCGTTGCGGTCTTTGATGTCCAGAATCTTGATCAGAAAAACGAGAAGGAAAAGAATTTTTCACTTACGATTTTTTTCATTGAGGAGATAAATTTTAGAGAACGAATATAGTTGTTAGTAATGAAAATAGAACGTGAATATAATAAATACGAAATTAGTGACTGAATTACAGGCTTCGCACTCCTGCTAAAAATTTACTAAAATTTTTTTAAATTTGTGACACTAAAAGCTACTTTTTTTACTTTTTATTAAGTTAATCCGCTGGTAGTAAACAAAAAGTAATTCTCAAAAATTTTAATAAATTTCTTAGAAACGATTCAATTATTGTCGAATAAAAAAAAATTTGTAAGAAAATTTTTGTCGCTAGGATTCAATTATTTTCATAAATTTTTAATAAATAAATTAAATAAATTTTTTTTAATAAATATTCCCCAAAGAATTCAATTATGAATTTATGATTAAATAAATTATTTAAGTAAAAATTTTAAATAAAATTCTTAGAAGAAAAAATTCAATTACTTTCATAAATAATAAAATTTCACAAAAATTCAATTATTTTAAATACAATTAAAAAGAAAAAATTTTTAATTATTTTTAAAAAAATTATTATTTACAGTATTTTAATAAATTATTAATATATTATATTTAATAAATTATTTAAAAAACAATTATAAAAAAAATTGGGCATAAATAAATTATTTTTAAATTCTTAATTATTTCTTTCTTAATTAATTTTTAATTTCCTTGAATTTTGAATACAATTGTAATTAAATTTCTTTAAAGAATTAATTTATTTAAAAAAAATTTTTTCAAATCGTTGCAAAAATTCAATTATTATTTATTTTCAAGAATTTTGATAAATTTCTTCATAAGAATTCAATTTTAAAAAATAATTAACTAAAAATTTGGAAAATAATTGAATTTTAAAAAAATTTGGAGTTGAAGTTAAAAAAAATTGAATATTTTTAATGTAAATCAGTCTATAAATTAATTTTTGCTACTTTTTCAAGAATAATTATCGAGTGCAAAGCCTGAAATTAATAAAATTATTAGTAGAATTGCTAGAAAAGACAAGTAGTGAATAAAACTAGTGATTGAAAGCTAGAAAAATTAGTGACTATAGTGAGAGCGTTCCTCAGTAAAAAAAGGAACTTTTTTTCACTTTTTAGATCAGAAATAATTCAAAAATAATTTTTTCCAAAAAAAAGTAATAATAAAAATTACAATTTTGAGAAAAATAAAATCCTCGGAAAAAAGTTGAATTTTTTTCCAAATATTTTATTCTTGATTCTGGACGTTATTGCACATCAGCCAACAAGATAAAGACTGTAGTTTAAGACAACTTTTAACAAAGATAAGAACCGTTAGCAATCTGCAACAATTATTTTTTGATCCCTTCCAAACCGTTTACAAATTTTAAGCGTTTTTGCAAAATACCAAAAGAATAATAATAAATTATGGCATAAATCTCATTCGATTTTTCATCAAATTCACGCGCACTTTTGTTTTTCTCTTCATTTCCTTCGATTTCATTCACACGCAATAATAAATAAATAAATAATAAGCTTAATTTAAATAAAAAAAAAAAAAAATATTATATCGTATAAATAGATATTTGTTTGGTGTGCGCAAATTGCAGTTTAAATAGATTATTAATAGGATTAGGGAAAGGATAATCTTTGCTCAAGTAATGCCTTGCAAAACGATTTGGAAGAGATCGTAAAGGAATTTGTAAATATCCCTGATGAAGTTTCATGTGTTGGATTATAAAAAAAAAAAAAAAATTGAAGCTCGACCGACTAGTTGTAATATCGTCAATCGTGTCTGCGAGGTTTTAACCAGGTGAGGAAGTTGCGTGCTGTATGTATCAACATTTTCTTATAGAGAGAGAGAAAAAATAAAAGAAAAACAATCATTTTTAGGTCAATTTTTTGACTATAGCGAAAAAAACAAATCTTGCCCCTTTTATTAAATTTGAGAAAAAGGAGAAGAAGGAAAAAAAATTAATTGGTCGAAAGTCGGTCGAAAAAATTGAAAATTTATTTCATTTCCGACAAAAGCATGAAATTTGTAATTTTTTTTTCTTTTTTTTGAAGAAGAAGAATAAGAAAGTTTCTTCAGGGTAAAAAAGACATCATAATACACACGAAATTGTAAATAAGAAATTCAGTGTTGGTTCACATTTCGATTTTAATAGTTACCAATAATTAAGTTTTCACACACAAACACTCACACGTACACAAAGTCTCTCTCTCTTTCTCTCTCTCCCTCCTTCTCTCTCTTTATCGCCAAATTTCAGGATGCAGTCTACTACAAAATAAATTTCAATTTTTTTTATTTGAAAAAAAAATTTTTTTAGTAGTGAATTAATTAATTTTTGCATTAATTAATAATTGAATTAGTTGATTATTGAACTAATTAATTGTTTAATTAGTTAATTATTGAACTAATTAAATGTGGAATTAATTAATTTTTAACTTAATTAGTTATTAAACTAATTAATTATTGAATTTGTTAATTATTGAACTAATTAATAGTTGAATTAATTTTCAACTTAGTTATTGAATTAATTATCTATTGAATTAGTTAATTATTGAATTAATTAACTATTGAACTAATTAATGGTTGAATTAATTGATTTTCAACTTAATTAGTTATGAAACTAAATATTTATTGAATTTATTAATTATTGAATTAGTTCATTATTGAACTAATTGAATGTGTAATTAATTAATTTCCAACTTAAATAGTCATTAAACTAATTAATTATTAATTACTTGAATTACTTAATTATATAACTAGTTAAATAATTCAAAAGAAAAAAATTGATTTATAATAATCATCCTTTTTATAAAATGACTAAAAAAATTTTTAATATTTTAATTCCATAGTAATTGTGAATTTAATAATGTAATTTTTTAATTCAAAAAATTTTTAGGTCAGAAAAAATGTTTAAGAATTTTAAAAAATTTATTTACATTATAAATTAGCTAAAATAGTTTTGAACAATTTCATTTAATTAAAAAAATTGTCAAATATCATTAAATTGCAAAATTTACAATTTTAATTAAATTTCAAAATTTATGATTTTCATTAAATTGCAAAATTTATGATTTTCATTAAATTGCAAAATTTACAATTTTCATTAAATTAAAAATTTTGTGATTTTCACCCAATTAAAAAATTTGCAAATTTCATTAAATTGCAAAATATACAATTTTAATTATTAAATTACGAAATTTGCAGTTTTTCTTAAATTAGAAAATTTGTGATTTTCATTAAATTTCAAAATTTTAAATTTTAATTAAATTACAAAATTTACAGTTGTAATAAAATAAAAAATTTATTACTTTCATTAAATTATAAAATTTGTGATTTTAATTAAATTACAAATTTTGTGATTTTCATTCAATTACAAAATTTGCATATTTCATTCAATTAAAAAATTTGCAAATTTTATTAAATTGCAAAATTTACAATTTTAATTAAATTACAAAATTTGCAGTTTTCCTTTGAATTAGAAAATTTGTAATATTAATTAAATTACAAAATTTGCATTTTTCCTTAAAGTAAAAAATTTGTAATTCTCATTAAATCACAAAAATTAATTAATAATTTTAAAAAATTTTATGTTTATAATTTGCATTTCTAATCAACCAAACAAAAAAAAACTTTGTATTAGATTGCGTCAAAAATTTGGAATGCAGTGAAATAGAATTTTTGATGCCTAAAAGTGTTCTAAATAGTCATTTTTCGATATATGCATATAATTATATATGATTTTCAATATATAAATATACAATAATAAATATTATGCGAAATATGATAATTATTATTAAACGATAACGGTACAAAGTATTATATATATGTTTTGTTGAAGAAAAATGAGCAGAAAGTAGTGCGGGAATGAGATGAAAGAAATTGCGATCAAAAAAATGCAACAAATAAAAATGAAAAAAAAAATATTTATTTATTATAATCGATGTGTTTAAGGTCAACCTATATATATATATATGAGTACGTGATATATATTGAGATAACAAAAACAATTTTTTTACCGATTTCATATATTATAATATTATACGTGACACATTTTTCATATAGATTTTTGCGCATCGACTGTTTTTTAGAAAGGCAAAAAAAAGGATATTGATGATAAAAAAAAAAAACAAAAACAAAAATCGAAAAAAGCGACAAAAAAAAGAGAGAGTATGAAAAAAAGTGAAATTTCAAGATTTGATCTTGGACACATCCAGCCATTCAGCAAAGTGCATAATGCATTCGAATATTTCATTAATTATAAATAAACGTAGAATGCGATTAAATTTGTTCATTTTTTTCATTTCTGGGGTTTACACACAATTTTTGACCCAAATAAAATAAACGTTTCTAGAAACGAAAATTTTGTTTTTTTTTTGATAATTTAAAGAAAAATACGTAGATATTATTTTTTTACATTTTTAATTGCAATATTTTAGAATAAAAAAATATTTTTTTTTCTTGGCGAACAAGAATTTAAAATTTCAGTTTTATTTTTTCAATTATTCAGTTTCATTAATAGTTTAAACAGTTTCTAGAATTTTTTTTTTGTGTAAAAATAAATTCTGTTTTGTAAAAATAAATGGAAGGATAAAAATTGGTGACAAAATGAAAATATGAGGAAAGAAAAAATTGTGGCTGATTGTTGGGGGAAGTATAAAATCTATTCAGCAGAACTTATTGTGAGTTGCGCTTGGAATTGACCTGGGATTGAAGACTGGAAGTGGAGTACAACTGGATTGGTGTTTGGAATGAACATCTAGGTGAGCTGAAGTTACAGAGGATGTGTTGTTTTGATAATGTGCACCTCTAATCTTTATGGATTGAATTTTGTTTTCATTATAAATGTAAGGAAGATGACAAATATTTTCACTATTTTTTCTCACTGTGCGTGACAAATTAATTATAATATTGTTAATTATTCGTCATAACATTGTTAATTATTATTCATTATTCACATTCAATTAATTTATTATTGACTTTAAATTAATTAATTAAAAATAAATTTAATTAATTAATTAAATAAAAATAAATAGTCAAAAGAAATTCAATTAGTGGGAATATTTCTCTCTTCTTACAATCAGATAAAATGACACAAAGTATGAATGGCTGCGTGCATCATTTCAGATTTTAAAAACAATTTAACAAATCCACATTTTTTTATTTTTGTTCTTGAAAAGTTTTCTAATTATTTCTATAATTAAAATAATTAAAATATTCTGACATTAAAAAATTGTCAAAGAATTTATGGAAACAGATTAAAATAATAGCCCTGACAAGAAATTTTGAATATTGAGTTTTCCTCGATCTTTACCCTAAATTGAATTTTTTTTTATTGTAAAAAAAAATTTTTAATTTCATCAATAATACATTTTTTTGTTAACTTCGTACTTCTTTGATTTTTGTTAGTCCATCAAATTATTTTCCATTTGACAGTGAAAGTTTTCAAAAATTGCTTAAATTAATAATTGAAATTCAAGAAACAAATTGCTTTGCAGTAAATTATAGTATTTTTTTCTCTTCTTTTCTTCCCAAAAAAAGAAAATTCGTCTACTAATTATAATACTTGGTACGTGAATTTCTTTTTTTACAGGTTCATCTTCTTTACGAGCCACCGTGATTTCGACTGGAGATATTTTTATAAATCAAGAACAATGTGAAACAAAAGTACAAACCAGAAGATTGTATGAACAAGTACAGAAGCTTTTCGACGAAAAAAGTAATAAGACGAAAATATTTCTCTCTTTAAAAAAAATACGAATAAATATTTTGTTTAAAAAAGTACAATTGGTTATTTTTGAGAGTAAATTATTTTCCGATTCGTTTCGGTAGTTTAAACGGTTTATTTGATGCTTGAGTTAAGTTATACACAATATCTGAATGTTTTGCAGTAATTGAATAAAATTCTATGTTAAATGAACACATGTTTAACAAAGCAGGGTGTCTAGCGAAGTCTATAGTTTTCAATCTTCATTGATTATTTTTTTTTATAATAACTGATTCATATACATATAATTCTATAAATAATACAAAACGCAAAAAAATACACTAAATACATAAGGTAACTCATAAACAATTCAAAATATCGAACAATTTCGACTTTCGAAAGAAAATAAATTCTCTAAATTAATGGAAAAAAAAATCTTGTTGCTTTGTATAAACAACTTCCTTCATCTTTCTGACTTTTTTTGTTAAATGCTAGACACTCTGTAAATATGTAGATTAAGAGTGTAAGTTAAAAGAGTTAAGGACTTGTTTATCATAAAACAATCCTTTATATTTTTTTTTGCTTTTTTTGTTTTTTTTTTTTTTTGTTACTCTAGGAGTAATATATTCTAAATTGTATAAATTTTGCTTGTCTTAACGCTACATTTTTTTTCTACGATCAGCATTAATTGAAATTATTATTATTATCATCCTCATCATTATAATTAAGAAGTCTTTTATCAGTTTAAAAAGTAGTGTTAAGACGTGCGCGAACGTCTCGTTATGCATTTCGCATTAGTGGCGAAATAAAATTTGTTGGATGAATTATTGGTACACACACACTGATTGAAAATACGATTCTCTCGCCGGAAAATTTTTTTTGTTAAGTTCCTAAACGATATGAAAAATAAATCCTCCAGAGAATGTTCCTGCATTTTGCGAGAAGAAAGCGCGGAACATCGCATTTTGATCCATATCTGAGGAAGAAGGAAATTTTACCAAACGTTTATATTTAATTTCAATATTTTATCATTTTCGTTGTTTTTGACAATTAGTTGTAAAATTTATCACTCAGTGAAAGATAATAGAAATATCTAGAAAATTACCATTCCTACAAGTCAAATATTAAAATAATAAAAACGAAACGTTAAAAATTTATTTTTATTATTTTACAGGGTTGTCACAGATCAGGGAATTCAGGGAAAAGTTAGGGATTTTTATTAAAAGTACTGGAAAAAATTAAATCTTTAGAATTCATAAGAATATTCTGAATTTTTTTAATTATTTAAAAAGTATTAAAGTAATTATCTTTACAAATAACAAAATTCTCAACAAAAATTCAATTATTTTTAGGAATTTTAAAAAAATTCTTTGCTGAATTCAATTATTTTCAAAAATAACAATACCACAAGAATGCAATTATTTTTAGAAATTTAAAAAAATTCTTTGCTAAATTCAATTATTTTCAAAAATAACAATATTCATAACAAGAATTCAATTATTTTCAAAAGTAATAAAATTCTTCGAAGAAATTCAATTATTTTAGAAAAATTTTAACGAATATCTTGTCAAGAATTCAATTATCTTTACAAATAGCAAAATTTTTCGCTAAAAATTTAATTATTTTCAAATCTTTTTTGCATTTCAAATTATTTAAAAAATGTTTGATACAATTCTACGAATTCTTTCAACCATTTTCATAAATAATAAATTTTCATTTAGGAATTCAATTATTTTCATCGCAGAATTTAAACAAATTTTTCATACAGTTTTAAATAAATAAATAAAATAATAAAATTCGTTGGAATAATTCAATTATTTACATAAATAACTTTTAATTCGTCGCAGAAAATCAATTATTTTCAAACATTTGTAAGTATTGTAACCAATTTATTATTTAACAAAATTAGTTACTATTTAAATTTCACAATATAAACGAAAAAACAATTGAATCAAATATAAAATGACATGAATGATAAATTAATAAAGAAAATAAACGAAATCAAATTTAATCTGGCGCATATAATCTTTAATTAGAGATCAAATAATTGCAAATTAAGTGTATAATATAGCGAACTGCAGTTCATTTACAAAAATCATTTAAATCATAGCAATTAATAAAATCTTTAACAATATCGAGTCTATCACAAATAGTCAAATATGAATACAAATAAATATATACACACACAAACATAAAATACACATACATACACAAATTTAGAGAAATAAATTGATATAAATATAATAATCAGATTGTAAATAAAATATATAGATATAAATCAGAATAAAAGAAATCGTCACGTGCAACAAAATACTTATCGGAAAAAACAGCGGGTTTGAAAGCAAATCGTTGAAACTCTCGAATCCAAGAAGTCAAATTGGCAAAGAAACTCCTCAGGACAATTTGATTAATAATCCACGATAATTAGTTTCTGGATTCTCTCGTCTTTTTTCCTTGGAGGAATTTTTGGGTTGCGAATCTTGGTGGATGAGAATTTGCTCGATGCTTTATTATATAATCTGCCCACTATTTAATCGCCACACTATCAAATATGATAACAAAAAAAAATAATATATATAACACCGATAAAGAAAAATAAATCAAAACATATAACTTTAAAATGTAAAATAAAATATGAATTCCTACCTATCAGTGTCCGCGGCTGGCACGTGAGAATGTGGCACAGACCCCGCTGTCCGAAATGAGGCACGATGACGAAGTGAGAAACACAAAATCATCGTCCTGAGAACCGACAGCGGTTTTCCAGAATTTCTCCCTACTTCCCACATTTCACGACAGACCAAAGACACCGATAGGCAGTTTAAAATACGTCATTAAAATTCGCGCATTTTCCACCAAAATTCACAACCCGGCAACCCAAGTTACATCTCAGTAATAGATATACATATATACTTAATTATCGCTTCAGTATAATTCTGCTAAAGAATTCAATTATTTTTATAAATTAATATAAAATTCTTGGCAAGAATTAAATTACTTTCATAAATAATCAAATTCAATTACTTAAAACAATTTCTATAAAATTCTTGACAAGAATTCAATTATTTTCATAAATAATCAAATTTTTCGAAGGAATTTAATTATTTAAAAAAATTTCTATAAAATTCTTGGCAAGAATTTAATTATTTTCAAAAGTAATAAAATTCTGCAAAAAAAAATTCAATTATCTTGATAAACAAAAAAATTCTTTCCATAAAATCAATTATTTTAAGGAATATTAATAAGATTCTTTTCCAAAATTCAATTATTTTCATAAATTATTATTTAAATTCCTAATAAAAATTAATTTAAAATTTTTTCAGTATATAATCATTTTTAGAGCGAATAAAAATATTATTTAGGGTCAGAGAAGAAGTGAAAATTCTATTTGGAAATCAGGGAAAAGTCAGAGAAAAACGAAGTCAAATTTTTGTGGCAGCCCTGTTTTAATATTTGACTTGGAGGATTGATAATTTTCTTGATATTTTATAATAACTAATTAACTTAATTTTAATATATTATAATTTTTCTTGAATTTGAAAATTTATTTTAAATTGACAATTGAAATTCCTTTCAAAGCAATTATTTAATAGTTTAATTATTATTCATATAGCTAGATATAAATTTAATTCAATTAAAAATTTATTTCATAATTAGACTAATTTATAATTGAAATAAGTTAAGAATTTATTCGAATAATCGAAAGTAAATGAAATTCGAACATACCTTTTATATCCTTATTGATGTCATGACCATTATCGTAACGAGATCGTTTATTCGGATCAGAAAGAATTCCATAAGCCTCGCCTACTTCTTTGAACTTCTTCTCTTGTTCCTTCTTCTCTCTGTCAGGAGCATTTGCATGACGATCTGAAATTTATTTCAGTATTTCTTTAAATTAAATATGATTAAGTAAATTTCTTCAAATTAAATATAATTAATTCTGAATTCAACTTAAATAGTTAAGTCGAAAATTGTTTTTCTACTAAAAGGAAATTTCCACTTCGTTTTAGATTCATTAAATGTCATAAACAGTTTTAATTTTAATAACAGTTTTTTAATTATAATTTTAAACAGTTTTAAATCAATAAAAATTTTAATTTCAAAAATCTTACCTGGATGGTGGACCATCGCTCTTTTTCGATAAGCTTTCTTGATATCATCTGTTGATGCATTTTTGTAAATTCCGAGAATTTTGTAATAATCTTTTCTTTGGGATTTTTTCAATGCGAGTTTTGCCTCTGTAAGTAATCGTTTGTTATCCAAAAATTAAACAAAAATATTAAATAAAATTTATAAAATAAATTTAAGTATTGCTTGATATATATTGCAAAAAAAAGGTTTCCATAAATATTCGAATTAAATTATTTTTGTGGAACAAATTCAGTTTATAAACTGTTTTAAATTATTTCAAATTAGAATGGTTTTTGAATCGATGGTTTAAAAGAAATTAAAAACGAAAAAATAATGAGAAAAAAATGAAAAGAAAACACAAAAGCTATTTAAATAAAAATTTCATATTTACATTTTCGCATTGTTTTTTTTCAGTGTAGTTTTTCATATTAAAATAATTGCCTTCTTATTTTTTGTTGTTTTTGCAAAATTTAAAGAAAAAAAAGTTTTAAAAAAATTCACAATTCACAATTGTAGTCAATAACTTTAACATACGCAAATCTCTACACTTGGAAAGAGAGATAAATTTAAAGAAAAAAAAAAAGAAAAAATAGCTGTTATATGATATTGTGTACTCCATTATTAATATTCAGATTAACTACTTCAGAACTTATTACCTTATGAGTAAAAAAATATTGAGAAATAAAAAATAATCCAGGTAAAAAAGATATGTGTGATGTTGTGTGTATCCTCTGTTAATAAATCTAGAGACGAAACGGAAAATTCGAAATGAATTTTGTGAATTCTTCGACTTTTTCAAGATTGTACTATTTTACATTAATCTCATTTCCATTAATTAAATTTTCATATTTTTTAATTTTATGTCTATAAAAAATTTTATTAGATATTTATTACTTTAACTAGAAAAATAGTCAGAAAAACAAAATTTTAAAAATAAAAAATATAAATTTAGAATGAAAAAAAACTTCCACAGTACAATTTTGAAATTTGAAAGAAATCTTGATCAGAAAAACGAGAAGGAAAAGAATTTTTCACTTAGGATTTTTTTCAATGAGGAGATAAATTTTAGAGAACGAATATAGTTGTTAGGAATGAAAATAGAAAGTGAATATAATAAATACGAAACTAGTGACTGAATTACAGGCTTCGCACTCCTGCTAAAAATTTACTAAAACTTTTTTAAATTTGTGACACTAAAAGCTACTTTTTTAATTTTTATTGAGTAAATCCGCTGGTACCTAGTAAACATACCAAATAATTCTCAAAAATTTTAATAAATTTCTTCGAAACGATTCAATTATTTTTGAACAAAAAAAAAAATCTGTAAGAAAATTTTTGTCGCTAGGATTCAATTATTTTTATAAATAATGAAATTATTCGCTGAAATTCAATTATTTTCCAAAAAATTTTAATAAATATTCTCGAAAAAATTCAATTATTTAAGTAAAAATTATAAATAAAATTCTTAGAAGAAAAAATTCAATTACTTTCATAAATAATAAAATTTCACAAAAATTCAATTATTTAAAATACAATTTAAAAAAAAACTGAAAAAATTATTTTTTAAACAATAATATTATTCACAGTATTTTAATAAATTTCTTTAAAGTAAATTATTTTTTAAAATTTCGAATAAGGTTTCAATTATTTTTAATACAATTTCAATTAAATTATTATAAAAATTTAATTTTTTTAAATTTTATAATAAAATTAACAATCAACTTAAAAAAAAACTCAATTATAAAAAAATTGTAACAAAATTCTTCACTAGAATTCAAACTTTTTTTACGCAAATAATAAAATCTTTCACAGGAATTCTATTAAAAATAAAATTATAATAAAATTCATTGCAAGAATTCAAGTATTTAAAATTCTTCTCTGCGAATTCAATTATTTAAAAAAAAAAAAAATTTGACGAAATACATAAATTATTTTTAATTTCTTAATTATTTCTTTCTCAATTAAATTCTAAATTCTTTGAATTTTAAATTACTTTTATAAATAACAAAATTAATAAAAAGAATACAATTATTTTCAAATAAGTTTTAATAAAATTATTCTTTAATTACTTTCAATATAATTGCAATTAAACTTCTCTAAAGAATTAAATTATTTTAAAAAATTTTAAAAAATTAAAGAAATTGTAATTAATTAAAAATTAAATTATTTTTAAAAACTTTAATCAAAATTGTTTATTTATATTTAATTAAACTTAAATTTAAACGAAAAATGTTATTATTCTTAAAAAATTGATTAAAATTCTTCGAATGAAATTAATTATTTTCAAAAATTTTGATAAATTTCTTCATAAAAATTCAATTTTAAGAAATAATTCATTGTTTCATCAATTATTTGTTTTTGTATTCAAATAATTCAATTTCCGAGAAGTTTCTGATAAAAATTTATTTAAGAAGAAATCAGTTGATATTTTTGAGATTATAATTGAAATTTTTGCTACTTTTTAAAGAATAATTATCGAGTGCAAAGCCTGAAATTAATAAAATTATTAGTAGAATTGCTAGAGAAGACAAGTAGTGAATATAAAACTAGTGATTGAAAGCTAGAAAAATTAGTGACTATAGTGAGAGCGTTCCTCAGTAAAAAAAAAGGAACTTTTTTCACTTTTTAGATCAGAAATAATTCAAAAATAATTTTTCCCAAAAAAAAGTAATAATAAAAATTACAATTTTGAGAAAAATAAAATCCTCGGAAAAAAGTTGAATTTTTTTCCAAATATTTTATTCTTGATTCTGGACGTTATTGCACATCAGCCAACAAGATTAAGACTGTAGTTTAAGACAACTTTTAACAAAGATAAGAACCGTTAGCAATCTGCAACAATTATTTTTTGATCCCTTCCAAACCGTTTACAAATTTTAAGCGTTTTTGCAAAATACCAAAAGAATAATAATAAATTATGGCATAAATCTCATTCGATTTTTCATCAAATTCACGCGCACTTTTGTTTTTCTCTTCATTTCCTTCGATTTCATTCACACGCAATAACAAATTTTGTGATTTTTACTCAATTGAAAAATTTGCAAATTTCATTAAATTGCAAAATTTACAATTTTAATTAAATTACAAAATTTGCAGTTGTAATAAAATAAAAAATTTGTGACTTGGATTAAATTAGAAAATTTTGTTTTTAATTAAATTACAAATTTTGATTGAATTTGTTCAAAAACAAACTCATAATTATTTTCCCCCATTCACGAAGAATTTAACTAATTTCTCACCATTTTATTTTATATTTATAATTTGCATTTTTAATAAACCAAAACAAAAAAAAAACTTTGTATTAGATTGCGTCAAAAATTTGGAATGCAGTGAAGTAGAATTTTTGATGACTAAAAGTGTTCTAAATAGTCATTTTTCGATATATGCATATAATTATATATGATTTTCAATATATAAATATACAATAATAAATATTATGCGAAATATGATAATTATTATTAAACGATAACGGTACAAAGTATTATATATATGTTTTGTTGAAGAAAAATGAGCAGAAAGTAGAAATACGTATTATTCTTTTACATTTTTAATTTATTAATTGAATGCAATATTTTAGAATAAGGAAATATTTTTTTTGCTTGGTGAACAAGAATTTAAAATTTCAGTTTTATTTTTTCAATTATTCAGTTTCATTAATAATTTAAACAGTTTCTAGAAGTTTTTTTGTGTAAAAATAAATTCTGTTTTGCAAAAATAAATGGAAGGATAAAAATTGATGACAAAATGAAAATATGAGGACAGAAAAAATTGTGGATGATTGTTGGGGGAGTATAAAATCTATTCAGCAGAACTTATTATGAGTTGCGCTTGGAATTGACCTGGGATTGAAGACTGGAAATGGAGTACAACTGGATTGGTGTTTGGAATGAACATCTAGGTGAGCTGAAGTTACAGAGGATGTGTTGTTTTGATAATGTGCACCTCTAATCTTTATGGATTGAATTTTGTTTTCATTATAAATGTAAGGAAGATGAAAAATATTTTCACTATTTTTTCTCACTGTGCGTGACAAATTAATTATTGATTATTAATTATAATTATATAATAATTATATTTTTGTTCTTGAAAAGCTTTCTAATTTTTTCTATAATTAAAAAATTAAAATATTCTGACATTAAAAAATTGTCTAAGAGTTTATGGAAACAGATTAAAATAATAGCCCTGACAAGAAATTTTGAATATTGAGTTTTCCTCGATCTTTACCCTAAATTGAATTTTTTTTTATTGTAAAAAAAAATTTTTAATTTCATCAATAATACATTTTTTTGTTAACTTCGTACTTCTTTGATTTTTGTTAGTCCATCAAATTATTTTCCATTTAACAGTGAAAGTTTTCAAAAATTGCTTAAATTAATAATTGAAATTCAAGAAACAAATTGCTTCGCAGTAAATTATAGTATTTTTTTCTCTTCTTTTCTTCCCAAAAAAAGAAAATTCGTCTACTAATTATAATACTTGGTACGTGAATTTCTTTTTTTACAGGTTCATCTTCTTTACGAGCCACCGTGAATTCGACTGGAGATATTTTTATAAATCAAGAACAATGTGAAACAAAAGTACAAACCAGAAGATTGTATAAACAAGTACAGAAGCTTTTCGACGAAAAAAATAATAAAACGAAAATATTTCTCTCTTAAAAAAAAAATACGAATAAATATTTTGTTTAAAAAAGTACAATTGGTTATTTTTGAGAGTAAATTATTTTCCGATTCGTTTCGGTAGTTTAAACGGTTTATTTGATGCTTGAGTTAAGTTATACACAATATCTGAATGTTTTGCAGTAATTGAATAAAATTCTATGTTAAATGAACACATGTTTAACAAAGCAGGGTGTCTAGCGAAGTCTATAGTTTTCAATCTTCATTGATTATTTTTTTTTATAATAACTGATTCATATACATATAATTCTATAAATAATACAAAACGCAAAAAAATACACTAAATACATAAGGTAACTCATAAACAATTCAAAATATCGAACAATTTCGACTTTCGAAAGAAAATAAATTCTCTAAATTAATGGAAAAAAAAAATCTTGTTGCTTTGTATAAACAACTTCCTTCATCTTTCTGACTTTTTTTGTTAAATGCTAGACACTCTGTAAATATGTAGATTAAGAGTGTAAGTTGAAAGAGTTAAGGACTTGTTTATCATAAAACAATCCTTTATATTTTTTTTTTGCTTTTTTTGTTTTGTTTTTTTTTGTTACTCTAGGAGTAATATATTCTAAATTGTATAAATTTTGCTTGTCTTAACGCTACATTTTTTTCTACGATCAGCATTAATTGAATTTATTATTATTATCATCCTCATCATTATAATTAAGAAGTCTTTTATCAGTTTAAAAAGTAGTGTTAAGACGTGCGCGAACGTCTCGTTATGCATTTCGCATTAGTGGCGAAATAAAATTTGTTGGATGAATTATTGGTACACACACACTGATTGAAAATGCGATTCTCTCGCCGGAAATTTTTTTTGTTAAGTTCCTAAACGAATTGATAAACAAATCCTCCAGGGAATGTTCCTGCATTTTGCGAGAAGAAAGCGTGGAACATCGCATTTTGATCCATATCTGAGGAAGAAGGAAATTTTACCAAACGTTTATATTTAATTTTAATATTTTATCATTTTTGTTATTAAATTTGAAAATTTGTTGTTAAATTTATCACTCGGTAAAAGATAATAGAAATATCAAGAAAATTTTAAATCCTTCAAGTCAAATATTAAAATAATAAAAAGGAATCATTAAGGATTTTTATTAAAAGAACTGGAAAAAATTAAATTTTTAGAATTCATAAGAATATTCTGAATTTTTTTAATTATTTCAAAAGTATTAAAGCAATTATCTTGATAAATAACAAAATTCTCAACAAAAATTGAATTATTTTTTAGGAATTTTAATAAAAATCCTTGCTAAATTCAATTATTTCCAAAACTAACAATATTCATCATAAGAATTCAATTATTTTCAAAAGTAATAAAATTCTTCGAAGAAATTCAATTATTTTAGAAAAATTTTAACGTACATCTTGTGAAGAATTCAATTATCTTTACAAATAGCAAAATTTTTCGCTAAATATTCAATTATTTTCAGAAGTTTTAATAAAATTCTTTTCAAAATTTCAATTATTTTCAAATGTTTTTCGCATTTCAAGTTATTGAAAAAATGTTTGATACAATTCTACGAATTCATTCAACCATTTTCATAATTAATAAAATTTCATTTAGGAATTCAATTATTTTCATCGCAGAATTTCAAATATTTTTCATATAGTTTTAAATAACTTTCTCGATAAATGCAATTATTCTTCAAAATTTGATTAAAACTTGACGAAAGTTTTCAATTTTAAGAAACATTTAATTATTCAATAAATTATTTATTCGTAAAAATTCAATTTTAAGAACCATTTAATTATTCAATAGATTATTTATTTTTGTATTTAAATAATTGTATTCTTGTAGAAATTTCTAATAAAAATTAATTTAAAAATGAATTTCGGTTGGTATTTTAGACAATAATGTAATATTAAGAGCATTATTTTAAAATAATAATTTTATCACTTGGTTATTTTTAATTATTATAAAAACATAAAGAAATCGATATTAACTTAATTTTAATATATTATAATTTTTCTTGAATTTGAAAATTTATTTTAAATTGACAATTGAAATTCCTTTCAAAGCAATTATTTAATAGTTTAATTATTATTCATATAGATAGATATAAATTTAATTCAATTAAACATTTATTTCATAATTAGACTAATTTATAATTGAAATAAGTTAGGAATTTATTCGAATAATCGAAAGTAAATGAAATTCGAACATACCTTCTATATCCTCATTGATGTCATGACCATTATCGTAACGAGATCGTTTTTTCGGATCAGAAAGAATTCCATAAGCCTCGCCTACTTCTTTGAATTTCTTCTCTTGTTCCTTCTTCTCTCTGTCAGAAGCATTTGCATGACGATCTGAAATTTATTTCAATATTTCTTTAAATTAAATATAATTAAGTAAATTTCTTCAAATTAAATATAATTAATTCTGAATTTAACTTAAATAGTTGGGTTGCAAATTGTCTAAGTCGAAAATTGTTTTTCTACTGAAAGGAAATTTCCACTTCGTTTTCGATTCATTAAAAGTCATAAACAGTTTTAAATTTTAATTTCAAAAATCTTACCTGGATGGTGGACCATCGCTCTTTTTCGATAAGCTTTCTTGATATCGTCTGTTGATGCATTTTTGTCAATTCCGAGAATTTTGTAATAATCTTTCCTTTGGGATTTTTTCAACGCGAGTTTAGCCTCTGTGAGTAATCGTTTGTTATCTAAAAATAAAACAAAAATATTAAATAAAATTTATAAAATAAATTTAAGTATTTAAATTTAAGTATTGCTTGATATATATTGCAAAAAAAAAGGTTTCGAAGACTTCGATATAAATAAATAAAGAGAATATTACTTCGAGTTTTGCTCATTTTGTATGCTTTCTCATAATCTCGTACAGCCTCTTCGAATTCCTGGAGGTCCATGTAACATTGTGCTCTTCTGAGTAAAGCTTTTAAATAATTTTCATCTAGCCTGAGAGCTTCTGTACATTCTGTTACTGATTCGTTCAACCTGCCAAGCTAATAAGCGAACATACAATTATGTAAAATATTAAATTTTAAAATTAAAAGTCCAATAATTATCAAGTACATTATAATTGAAGAATTTTACCTTAGCGGCAACTGTTGCCTTATTAAAATGTAATTTTGCATTTGTTAACACATTTTGTGGATCTAATAATAATGCCTGGGTATAGAGATTATAAGCTTCTGCATAACGATTTTCCTTGAACGCTGTGTTTCCCTCCTCCTTCTTTAGCTTCAAAGATTTTGCTTTCTATAAACAGACAATGCGATTAAAATTCGAGTCGCTATAAATTTCGTATCAAATCACTACGTAAATTATAAATAATAATAATAACTATAAATTATACAATTTTTAAGTCAATTCTCAAATAATTAAAAAACAAAATTACAATAACAAAACTATTTTTAATTTCTAATCGAATTTTCTAAATTAATAATTTAATAATATTTATAATACTCGTTAGTTATTAGTTATTACACTCGTTTACTATTATTAAAATGATAAAGCGTGGCATTTAGTAAAAAATAAAAAATAGACCTTGTATATTTCTAGAGCTTTGCCATGATCTGGTGCTAGACGAAGTACTTGTTGAAAGTGAGTGAATGCCTTATCGATATTGTCTTGATAATATAAACACATACCACGAACATAAATTGCCTCAACATTTTGTTTGTCAATAATTAAAACATCACTGAAAACAAAAATCAAGATATTAATTGCAGAAAAATTCTAAAAAAATCTTGTATTTTTTTCAGGGAAAACAAAAGAGAAACTAACTTTGCAATATCTTGTGCCTCTTGATACCTTCCTAAAAATGTTAAACATTCCGCTTTTGCTAATTTAAATCTTGCGCATTGTGGACTCACGTCACAACAACGATCCATACAATAAACGACCTGAAAAAAAAATAAAACAGTAATTAATTTCGAACATAAATAAATCTACAAATAGCTTCCAAAATTTTTATTAGAGTTTTTATGAATAATTAAATTCTTTTGACGAGTTTCTTTAAATATTTTGCAAATTTCTTTTTAATACTTTTAATTAAAAATTTGGAAAATAATTGAATTATAAACAAAGAATTTTTTCAATTTTTTAAAATAATCTTGTCTGTTCATAATTATAATTATAATTATTAATTATAAGCATCATTATTAATTATAATTATAATTGAAAATTTGATTAATTCAATTTTATTAAAATTTATTGATACTAATTGAATTTCTGCAAAGAATTTTACTATTTGTGAAAGTAATTGAATCCTTCCAAAGAATGTTATTATTTATGAAAATAATTAAATGTTGGCGTAGAATTTTATTAAAATTTTTGAAAATAATTGAATTGTGGAGAACAATTTAATTATTTATAAAGATAATTGATATTTCGAGATTTTAAAAAAAATTTTAAACATAATTGAATTTCTGCGAAGAATTTTATGGAAATTGATGAAAATAAATGAATTCTTGTGAAGAATTTTATTAATTTGGAAAATAATTGAATTGTACCTAATGATTACAATTTATAAAAATAATTGAATTTTGCAATGAATTTTATTAAAATTCCTGAAAATAATTGAATCTGGAGAAGAATTTTGCTATTTATAAAGATAATTGAAATGTTGAAATTTTTCAAAATTTTGAAAATAATTAAATTTCTGGAAATAATTTTATTAAATTTAAAAATAATTGAATTGCGATGAATATTGTTATTTATGAAAATAATTGAATTTTGCAAAGGATTTCATTAAAATTCCTGAAAATAATTGAATTTTGTCGAAGAATTTTACTATTCATTTATAAAGATAATTAAAATGTTGACAATGTTCTTTAGATTTTTTGAAAATAATTTAATTTTTGCGAAGAATTTTATTAATTTTAAAAATAATTGAATTGTGATGAATATTGTCATTTATGAAAATAATTGAATTTTGCAATTAATTTTACTTAAAATTGAATTTCGATGAAAAATTTTGCTATTTACAAAGATAATTGAAATCTTGACGAGAACTTTTAAACAATTTTTGAACATAATTGAATTTTTATGAAGAGTTTTATTAATTTGGAAAATAATTGAATTGTTATGAATACAATTTATAAAAATAATTGAATTTTGCAATGAATTTTACTATTTAGAAAATAATTGATATAAAACGCGATTTTTTGAAAACAAATAAAAATAATAAAACTTTTTTTAATTTGGTAAAAAAATTCCTGGCTTATTCCCGGTTTTTCCCGGTCAAATTAAATTCCTGGCTATTTCCCGGTTAGTAGACACTCTGTATAGTGAATAATTATTATTTTGAAAATATAAATTAACTAATGTGAGAATTTAAAAATTACTTTTCGAAAATCTTTTGCTGCATAAGCTGCTTCCGATTCAACGATGAATCTTCGTAAGTGATCAATTTCTCTTAATTCAGTTGTAAATGATGAATTTAATGGATCTAGTTCCTTTAATTTATTTATTGTTGTTTCGGCGTTCACAATATCACCGAGCACTATACTGCATTTCACTATACGAAAATGTGCCTGAAAATGATACAAAAAATTATTTTCTATTGCAAATAAGAACTAAAAATAAATAAATAGAAATTAAAATAAACAGAAAAATAAATAGAAAATTAGTAGAAAATTATTAGAAAAGTAATAGAAAATTAACAGAAAATAAAAAAAAAATTAATGGAAAAGAAATAGAAAATTAATAGAAAAAATAGAAAATCAAATAGAATTTAAAAAATTTAATTAAATACCTTTACAAACATTGGGTCTAATTCCACCGATTTTTGGGCATCTTTTAAAGCATCTCGATAGAGACTCAACATCATATAACATGCTGATCGATTGCTATAATATCTTGATACATTGGGGCATAATTCTACATAAAAATAAATACAAATTTTAAAAATCAATAGTTGAGCGAAACATATTTCTATATTATTATTAGCTAATTATATTCAACTCATTCAACTTGACCTACCAATAGCTTCACTGTATCCGACTAAAGCTTTTTTATACTCCTTTGTGGCATAGAATTTGTTGGCCTCTTCCTTTTTTAATTCTGCTAATCTGAAATAAAAATCACATTTCGTTGAGGAAATTAAATAACCCAATTTTATATTAAATAATTTATTTCTAAAATTATTATTACTAATAATTAACATAAAAAGCTAATTTAAAACCAAAATAAGTAAAATATATCTACATTTCTAATTACTGTAAATAAAAATTTTATTTTTTATTTAAAATACAGGAAAAATTCAGAAGAAGAGCAAATTAATCAAATTAATTAACGACTAGTTGGATTAATTTTTATATTGCAAAATAGAATTTAAAATTGGACTGTTATACATTGGGAAATAAACAACTTACGAAATATTAAAAGTGCGGTCTACATTTGACAGTGTCATGTTTTATAAAAGTTTAAAACAGTTAAGACATTATCGTAAAGAATAACTTTAGAATTATTTTTAGCTATTAATTAAATATATTCGTAATAAAAATAATTTGACAGGATAACCTCAACAAAAGGTGTTTTATCAATATGGAGTAACCACACTCACACAATCAAGAAATCATCTTATACAATCTGAAATTTGCCAATTTCAATTTAAAACATTTTTTCTAGTAACATTTTTTTTTTAATAATAAAATATTTAAATTTGACGATTCTACAAATAGGAAATTTTAATTTTCATTCATTCCATTGATTCCTTTGGATAAAAACGGAAAAATTAAATTATTTTGACAAAAATTTTGTAAATTTTGTTATTAACAAAAAGTTACTAATTTTTATAAAATTAAATAAAAACAAATTTATTTCGTAACTTCTGCAGATTTTAAATTTAATTCCTATTATGGTATTCATTACTATTAAAGTTTGACATTTTGTAAAGGTTATAAATATTTATAGTATAAGAGTGAACTGGTTGAGTGTAATTGAATGAACTCATTTGGGGACATCAACAAAAATTTTAGAAAACGAATGACAACGGCCTACTTTGTTTGTCACGGTTTACACTCAGCAATTTACAGTTATATTAAATGTGCAATGTTTACGAAATGGAAAGGATGGAAAGTAACAATATCTTACGTGATTGTAAATTGCAACAAAAGGTATTATATTCCTTGTATTAGATTACAAAAAGTAGTTTCAAATTAACGGTAAAACTGTACCTACAAGTAAAATGAATTTTCAAAAATGAAAAAAAAAATTATGAACTTGAAAGTTATTGATTGTTGTGAAATATGTGCAAAAAAATTGCACTTTTACAAGAAACGGTATAAATGTGCAAGCATTGGAAATTACTTCAAAAGGTTATGTAACTCAAAATTCATTGCCAATTTTAAGAAAATATTAAAACAAGCAACCATAATTCTTTTTTTTCTGGTATAAAGTATAAAGTAGAACTCAAAGCTTACATTTCAGCCTCAGGGGATGACGCACTCGGAATTGTTGGGTTTATTGTTGGAATTTCATTCAACACTTCGTCTGCCATGACTTATTAAAGAGAGATAATCACAAATTTTAATGCAGCATTCAGAAATCAGATGAAAATTAATGTTTTACTAATTAATCTTTATTACTAGGAAACAATATTCACATGCAATTTCCTTGGAGCAAAAATTGCCACACTCGCCAAGGAAATGTGACGGAAAAGAAAGGACAGGATTTTGTCAATTGTCAAGAAATTGCGTGAATAGACTGTCCTGGGTTGTCGGGAAAAGGGCTTTAAAACCTTATTAATTAACGAAAATCCCAGACAACTGCAAATTATTGTAATGCATTAAATCGAAAATATTCTAATTTAAATATATATTTTTATCAACTCTATTGTTTTTTAAAAAATGTCACAAATGTCATGGCACAAAATCAATAACTATAACTATAAACAATTGTGAAAATCTTGAAAATTTTAAGATTTTCCTCTCTGCGCATGTGCGAAAGAAACATATTCTATTGGTTTAGATTTCTTCCGCGAAAATATGAAATACTTGCGGAATAAAAAGAAATTTGTATTGTTTTTCAATATGAAAAAACAATTTCCGTTAATAAAAAAATATATTTTGTATAAGAAAGTATAGAAAACATAATTTATTTTCAGTTTAGAAACACTTACTGACGTCACTTCGATATTATAATATCAAAGTGACGTCAGAAAGTGTCAATGTGGTGGTCGTGGTGGTGTCAATCAATACGAACATAACCTCAAATTCTATCGAAAACATTGTCACTGGAAAAGTGTGCTAAAGATTATATTTTTAAGAATAAACTTTATTTCTTGTAGTAATTAAAAACTGGTATTTGGAGACAATTATTTACTAAATATGTTTCAAGTGTAATAATAAATTTAGCCAAAGAAATCGGTTTTGTTTCTTAACATCAAAAATAATGGGACCACCGAAAAGATTCAAGAAAGACACATCAGGTAAGTTTTTTTATTTATTAGTTTAGTAAGTTAATTTATATTCTGAATAATTCAAAAAACTATATTCGAATAAAACAGAATTTTACAGTATTAAATTGTTTCTATTTAAATAGCATGTGTTTAAAATCTGTATAATTTAGAAAAAGAAAAATCCAAAGGTGACAAATTTTTGTCAAATATATTAAAATGTCATCTTTTTTAGATAAACGTTTTGTTAAAAAAACTAAGGATGATTATGAGGATTATATCGAAGAGGAAACCGCTGATGGGGAACCAGAGGGAATTCCCACAGCAGCCTCTGTTGATATTGAAAAAAGTGGAACAATTACAGAAGATGAATTTGGAGCAAAAGATTATCGTGCACTAATGAGTTTAAAAACAGATCATGAATCCAGAGCTCTATGGGTCGTAAGTAGAAAATCTAGCACAGTTTATTAAAAATAGATGTTTTTAATTTTTCCATTATTATAATAAATATAGCAAAACGTAGATTTTACGCTTTGGATTATTCGAGATTATTTATAATGTTAACAATTTTAAAATCGTACAATACCGACAAAAATGAAGGTTTTTAATTGTTTTCTAAGTTCTTAATGATAATTGACTAATTTATTTAGTAATTAATTAATTAATTAATTAATAATAACAAAGTACATGTTCCGGTGATTCTGTTCGCAGTTTGAAATTTCTTTAAAGAATTTTATTAAAATTAAGTATATTCAAATAAATTCAATAAAAAATAATTATTAAAATTTATATCTTACAATTAGTCAATTGATGAATAAATTAATAATAAATAACGAATTAATTTTTCAGGCACCAAATGGACATATCTTTTTAGAATCATTTTCACCAGTTTATAAACAAGCTCAAGATTTTTTAGTCGCAATCGCCGAACCCGTATCACGTCCTAAATACATTCACGAGGTGAATTTCTATAATTTTATTTTTGGAAATTAATTTCATCTTAATAATTTATATGACAATAATGGATATTTTTGCAGTACAAATTGACAGCTTACTCTCTATATGCAGCTGTTAGTGTTGGTCTTCAAACACACGATATAATTGAATATCTTGATAAACTGAGCAAAACAAGTATTCCCAATGGAATTGTTGAATTTATCAAAATGTGTACTTTGTCTTACGGAAAGGTCAGTTTTCTTAATAATAAGTAAACAAATTAGTTACTGCAATAACAATAAACTTATTTATTATTGTGATACATATTTATTTTTAATTTAAAACAAATTTGTTTAAATTTATTTAAAAATACAAATTTATATTATCTTTTTTAATATAATTTTTTTAACATTATTTCTTTTATTTTATTTTAATTATAAACGGAACGTGCCCTCTTTGATATTATTTATTCTTTTAATAATGTTTATTATTTTAATGTTTCAATATTTTAAAAGATAGAACAATTGTAGACCGAATGGTAATTATTATGAAACAATAGTCTTTTTAATGAATTTTCTAAAGAATTTTTCGTTTTCTGTTTTTTCAGGTCAAACTGGTTTTGAAGCATAACAAATATTTTATAGAATCCGCATTTCCAGAAGTTTTACAAACGTTACTAAAAGATCGAACTATTCAAGACTGCAGAATCACGCGTAGTGTTGATGAAGTTGATAAAGATGGATTAATTACTTGTATTCAAGAGAAATCCGAAGCCCTACAGGTACACACATTGTTAATTCCATTCTATTAAATATCTCCTTTTTGTTCGAATAAATTATTTAGGCTCGAAACAAAAAGAAAAAAAACTTAAGTAAACATTATTAATATTAATTAAAGGAAATGAATTTATCATTCGGTAATTAAATATTAAAGGTGAAAGAAGTTAACAATTTTTCCGAATCAATCTCACAAATAATAAATAATAATACATATGAAACTCGAGAGCTTTAATTATTAATATTGTTTTGAATCTTTTTGTTAGAATTTAAAAATTATCAGAATAGAATAAAAATTTACAATTTATTTAAAAATATACAATTATAGTTTGGATCGAAGCCAACTACAGCAGCAGCAACGGCAGCAACAGCAACAACGACAACAACAACTGAGACTTCCAGTTCTAGTAAAACAATTCCGGATGAAATAGCAACTGTTTATGAGAAAATTGATAAGGAAGATGAGGACGAGGAGGAAGAGCAGCAATTGAAAACTATAAGTTTTGAAGTTAACCAAGTAAGTTGACTGTTCAATTAAATTTAACAGTGGAAATTTTAGAACAATAAAATTTAATCATTAATTTAATACAATAATAAATTATTGTTTATGCATACAATTATTATTATTATTATTACTATTTTTATTATTATTATTATTATTATTATTTTTAATATTACTATTATTATTGTTAAATTAAAAATTTTTTTATTACATTAAATTTACGTCATTTTATTATTATATATTTATTTTCAGGAAAAAATTGAAGTGATACAGAAAAGATGTATAGAATTAGATCATCCATTATTAGCCGAATACGATTTTAGAAATGATACAGTTAATCCAAACATAAAGTATGTAATTTTCCTTGTTTTCTTTTTAATTTCACTTATTCTAAAAATATAGAAAAAAAATTAATTCAGTATAGTATAATTTGTCGCAAATAGTTAATTTTAGTAAAGAATAAATAATTTTCAATAGACATGTTTTAAAAGTATTGAAATTAATTTCTTTTAATCTCATATTTCAAAGAAATTAAAATAATATTGAATAATAATAAAATAATTATTAAACAATTTTAGCATCGATCTGAAACCTTCAGCAGTTTTGAGGCCATATCAAGAGAAGAGTTTGCGGAAAATGTTTGGAAATGGTCGAGCAAGATCCGGAGTAATTGTCCTGCCTTGCGGTAAATATTCCGAATTTTTAGAAAGTTTTATAAAAGCAAAGGCATTTAGAAATGAAATATTTTAATGGAAAATATAAATCTATGCTTAGAATTTTCAGTAAATTATTCTTTTTAATTAAATCAATTCAATAATATAATAAAACGAAAGGGTTGCCACGCAACCTGGAAAACCTGGAAATGTCAGGGAATTTTTATCGGAATCCTGGAAAATTATTGTTATTTTCTAAAGTTATTGTGCTTATTTTTAAAATCTAATTTTTCTTAAATATTTCAAAATTAATTCAATTTTAAAAGAGTTGCGTTTACAATTTTTCTTTGTGATAATTGAATTTTCCAAAAGAATTCAATTATTAAAAAAAATTGGAATAAAATTCTATATAAACATTCAATTATTTTCATAAATAATAAAAATCTTTATAGTTTTTCAATTATTTTCGTAAATAATAAAACTCATCGCGGAATTTTTATTATTTTCAATACAATTTTAATGAAATTTCTCGAAAAATGTAATTATTTTTAAAAATTTTATGAAAATTCATCAAACAAATTCAATTAAATTAAAAAGCCTTCCTATAATTTATTTATCAAAATTGAAATATTAATGTCAATACATTTTTAATTAAATTTCTTGTATTACATTATTTTCAAAAAATTTAATGAAATTATTTTTAACAATTCAATTATCTTTCAAAATAATTTTAATAAAATTCTTCGTAAAAATTTAATTAATTACAATAATTTATTAAAATTCAATTATTTTCAGTATCTACTATTTCAATAAAATTTTACAAAAGAATTTAATTAGGTATTTAAAAAGAAATATTAAAAAATTCGTCTCAAGAATTCAATTATTTCAATTATTTTTTGAAATAATAAAACTCTTCTTCAAAATTCAATTATTTTCAAAAATTTCTATAAAATTCTTGGCAAAATTTCAATTATTTTCAAAAACTTTTCTCAATTCAATGAAATTTTTTAGAGAGATTCAATTATTTTTAATACAATTTTAATCTAATTTTTCGAAAAATGAAATTATAGACTTAAAAGTGTTATTAAAATTCGTCAGAAGAATTTTAATTACCTATTTAAAAATTTGTTTATAAAATTCTTTATGAGAGTTCAATTTTAAAAAACATTCAATTCTTCAATAAATTATTTATTTGCATTTTATTTGTATTTAAATAATTGAATTTTCGTAGAATTTTCTAATAAAAATTGATTTAAATATGAATTTCAGTTAAAATTTTAGATAATAATATAATTGAATATTAAACTCTAAATTTGAATTAGTAAAAATGTTTTCCAATTTGAATTAGTGACCGACTTTTTGCTTTTGAATTAGCAGAGTTTAATAATAAATTGTCGTTTCTACTAATTTAATAGTAAAATTTACTAATTCAAAAAAAAATTCAAAAAGGCAGTCACTAATTCCAATTAGTAAAGATTTTTACTAATTTGAATTTAGAGAGAAAGTATTATAGCGTGAATTTTTAGAAATAATTGAATTTTGAAAAGGTTTCAAATTATATTCTTTGAATGTTTAAATTTTTCATACTTTTAACTGAAAATTGTGTAGATTTAATTTTTTTTTTTAAATTTAATTGGATTTTTTTTTGAGTCATTTGAAGTATTTAGTTTCTAATATATTTTTAATTGAAGAATTTCCGAATAATCGAAATTTCATAAAATTTAATTGTAAACAAATGGATATGAAAATTCTCAAAGAACTTTTTCGAAAATTATTAAAAATAGTAATTGATTTAAAGAAGAATTTTAGTTAAAAATTCTGGAAAACAAAAAGGTTTGAATTTGAAATTTTTTGAAGATCTAAATTTCGCAAAGAATAAAAATTTAATTTAATTTAATTTTTGGGATTATTATTTGTTTTAACAAATTGAAAATTTATTTATTTATAGGTGCGGGTAAAAGTTTAGTTGGAGTCACCGCTTGTTGTACAGTCAGAAAGCGAGCCTTGGTCCTTTGTAATTCTGGTGTTTCCGTCGAACAATGGAAGCAACAGTTTAAAATGTGGTCCACTGCTGACGATTCAATGATATGTCGATTCACAAGCGAAGCAAAAGATAAACCAATGGGTTGTGGAATTTTAATCACCACATATTCTATGATTACGCATACTCAAAAGCGTTCATGGGAAGCTGAACAAACGATGAAGTGGCTTCAAGATCAAGAATGGGGAATAATGGTTTTAGATGGTAATTAAATTAATTAAATCAAATAAATTAAATTAATTTAAAATTAATTAAATGGATTTCAAATCATTGAAATTAATTTTAAATAGTCATTAATTTACTGTTTTTTTTTTAATTACACAGAGGTACACTCGATACCTGCGAAAATGTTCAGAAGAGTATTAACGATAGTTCAATCGCATTGCAAATTGGGATTGACTGCCACATTGTTGCGTGAGGATGATAAAATTGCAGACCTTAATTTTTTAATTGGCCCTAAACTGTACGAGGCTAATTGGTTGGAATTGCAAAAGCGAGGATTTATAGCAAGAGTTCAATGCGCCGAGGTTTGGTGTCCAATGACTGCGGAATTTTATAGAGAATACCTCAATTGTAAAATGAGTAGAAAATTGGTATGTTATTGATATTTGAAATTTTCAAGAATTAGCAATGAATTTTCATTGTATTAATTTTCAAGTTTCATTTTCAAGTTTCGTTTTATTAATTATCCAGTTTTTAGCATTTTTCGACTTGTCAAATTTTAATTATTACCATTTTAACAAAAAGAAAATGGTAAATTTGAAATTGTTAATTTTTCTTTTTCAGTTATTGTACGTAATGAATCCGAATAAATTTCGATACTGTCAATATCTCATTCGATATCACGAGAGGCGTGGAGATAAGACAATTGTCTTCTCGGACAATGTTTTTGCTTTGAAGCATTACGCTAAGGAAATGCAGAGACCTTTTATTTACGGTCCAACGAGTCAGGTAAATTTAGAAATTATTTTATTTTCTAATTTTCTAATGATCCTAAAGTTCTAAACGTTCAATTGAACGAAATTTATTTATTTCTTCTTCAAATTAAATTTGTATTGCAATAATTTTGAGTTGCAGTAAAAAAAATAATTAACTAAAATTTCGAAATTGATTTCAAATAACTTTTGTATTTTTGTTTATTTTAGAAAAGCAAAATAGAAGCTAAAAAAAGTAGCATAAAAATTACAAAATTGTATCATACAAAAATGCTATATATTTAATTTATTATTTCAGAGTGAAAGAATACAAATTCTTCAGAACTTCAAGTATAATATAAAAGTGAACACAATATTTGTGAGTAAAGTCGCTGACACGTCTTTTGATTTACCAGAAGCTAATGTTTTGATTCAAATATCGTCACACGGTGGATCGAGACGTCAGGAAGCTCAACGATTGGGAAGAATTTTACGTGCCAAAAAAGGTGATTATTTATTTTTTAAGTTCTGAACGTTCGCATGAACAAAACTTATTTACTTCTTCTTCAAAGTAAATTTTTATTGCAATAATTTTGCGTAACAATCATAGAAAATTATAAAGTTTCTAAATGTAAATTTTAAGTTTATCTTTTTGCAATCAGTAAAAGAAAATATTTTTAATCCCAAATATTTCACCTTTTTAATATTGTGAAATATTTTGTTTAATATTTCTTATTTATTTAATTATTTGATTTAATTTGCAATTAATTGCTTTAATTTCAGTTATACATTTTCTTTGTTTATTAATTACAGGAGCAATTGCTGAAGACTATAATGCCTTCTTTTACACTTTGGTTTCTCAAGATACATTCGAAATGGATTATTCCAGAAGACGACAACAATTTTTAGTAAATCAGGGTTACGCTTATAAAGTCATCACCAAATTAGCTGGAATGGATGAGGTCAGTATTTTTTTCAATGTAAATTCATAAAATTTTCAACTTAAAAAAAGTTGAAATTCAATTATTTTCAAAAATTTTAATAAAATTCTGCGCTAGAATTCAATTCTTCTCATTAATATTTATAATTCTTCACGGGAATTTAATTATTTTCAATACAATTTAAATAAAATTCCACGAAAGAATACATTGTTTTTAAAAATTTTAATAAAAATTCTTCATAAGAATTCAATTATTTTTAATACAATTTTAATTAAATTTCTCGAAAGTGCCTATTTTAATTTTCTTTGAAACACTTAAATTTTCAATAATCTTTATAAATAATAAAATTCTTCTCCGAAATTCAATTATTTTCAAAAATTTTAATAAAATTCTTGGCAAAATTTCAATTATATTCAAAAATTGTTCCTCAATTCAATGATTTTTAATACCTAGTATTTTAATAAAATTTTCCAAAAGAATTAAATTATTTAATAAAAATTTTAATAAAACTTTACGCAAACTTGAAAATTATTTTCATAAAAAATAGAATAATGATTTCTTTAATTAATTTAAAAAATTATGATAAAATGCTTTATAAATTTTCAAAATTATAATAAAATTGATCAATACAATTATTTTCGTAAAATATAACATTCTTCTTAGGAATACAATTATTATTGTCAAAAATGTTTATAAAAATCTTCGAAACAATTCAATTATTTTCGTAAAAAATAAAATTCTTCCAATTAATTCAATTATTTAAGAAATTTTAATAAAATTCTTCACAAGAATTTAATTTTTTTTCAAAAATAAACATTTCCACGGAAATTTAATTATTTAAAAGAAAATTTAATAAAATACTTTGTCAGATTTCAATTATTTTCAATTTTTTAATGAAATTTCTCAATGGAATTTAATTATTTTCGAAAAGTATTAAAAAATTCTGAGAAATTCAATTATTTACAAAAGTTTGAATTAAATTTTTGAAAGAATTTTTTAATAAAATTCGTTGCAAGAATTCTGGATAAAAATTATTGTTTTTTACTTAAAGGAATCGGATTTATTTTACAAAACACGAGAGGAACAAATACAATTGCTGCAAAAAGTTTTATCAGCCAGTGATATGGATGCTGATGAAGAAAGAATTCCAGGAGAGGGTGGACGTTCCGTAAGTTATTTTCTTCTTCTTTTTACGCTTTTTAATTCAATTTAAATTGAAGACTAACTTTTAAAAATTTTAAATTAACTTTTAAATTACAAAAAATTATTAAATTTTATTAAATTATTAAATTGAATAATAAAATTAGAAAAGTAATTAAATTTAAAAATCTATATTCATGTTTTTTTCTCTATTTGCAGATTGTTCGCAAAGCTGGAAATATGGCGTCAACTTCTGGAGCGGACGATGCTGTTTATTACGAATACAAAAAATTGAATGCTAACGCACAAAGCAAACATCCTCTATTTAAAAAATACAGGAACTAAATCGTACAATTCGGATTTTGTAAGTTTTGTTTCACGCCCTATTTAGTTAATAATTATATAATTTTTTCATCAAAAAAGTAATTTATTATTAAGAAATATATAATTCGTAAGTTTACGATCACGATTGTTTATTGCAATCCTTATTAATATTTTTGCAATCCTTGCAATCCTTGCAATCCTTTTGGAATGAAATTTTTTGATTTTAAAAAATTTTAATTTTGAAAAGAATGAATATGAACTGAATGATTGTACGAATATAAATGAATTGATAGTATAATGGAAAAGAGAGTTTTGATTCAATTAAGATTTCGAACATATAAAGGATTTTTCTAAATAAAAGAAAAAGTATTGTTATTCTGAGCTCACGAAGCATTTGTTCGCAGGAAATGAAAGAAGATAATATATAGAAAAGCAATTGTTGTTGCACGTCGTAAAAAAAAAGTATATATTTTGAAGTGTGCAAACTTGTGTGACAGTTGATATTATCTGATAGCGTGCTCTGGATGAAAATTGCTGATTCGTGATTTGAAAAGGGTCAAAGAAAAGGGGGGTGAAAGGAAAGGAAAGGGTTTGTGTGTCGTTGAAGCTTGGAGACGAAGTAAAGCAGAGAAGCAAAACAGCAACACACACGGAAAGTAGGCCATAGCGAGTGGCAAGACTACGACTTGCAGCTCAAAGTATGGCACACACAAAAACCGTTTCGTGGATGAGAGTTTCCGACAAAAGTTTGTGGAGCCCATCGATCCTGGTGCACCTGACAGAAAGGGTCATTAAACTATATGTTTTCCTAGTGCCCTGCCTACCATTTTATATAAACACACATATGTATATAGGCAATACTTCACATTATTATTTCTATCGATGTCCCTGCGGTACTGTAAAGCTTAAACGTAGACATGAATTTACGATGCTCTAATTTCCCTTGTCGCTTGAGTTGAAATTCTCGGTGTACAACAATGTATATGTCAGAGAGAGAGAATATGGACTTTCGATGAGGTTGTGTCCTCATTTTAAAAAACCGCATTTGGGGAAAAGTACAAAGAAATGGAATATGAGCGTCTCTCGAGTTTTTACCGGATTCATAAAGCATTCGATTCTCATGTTATATACTATCAACTTGCGTTATACTTGCGACTCCGATTTTATCGTCGTTCAAATAAAATCCCAACACAGGTGTGATTTCTAGTTTTTATTTTTTTATTTTTAAAATATAACTTTTAACCATTTTATTTTCACTTGTACTTTCCTTTAATCTGCACAGGCCTAAAGTCATAAGAAGAATAAAGTCTTATAGAGACCAATAATTCAATGGAGTTTCCAAAAAATATCCTGGATTGTAGTGAAAACTAGACTAGAAATTCTTATCATTTCCCAAAATTCAGGCTATTTTTAAGGTAAAAACAAGTAAAAATTAATAAACATATGAATATAAACAAAAGTACATAACCTAACTTTATTTGTTATTCTTTTAACAGCGCCGTCATAATTAACTTTTATTTATATTGCAGTCGGTAATTTGTTTCCCTCGGTCGGTAATGAGTACCAAAAGTCGCCGCGGCGAGCGCTGTGAGCAATCAAAATGGCCGCCATTCTGGAGTTTTGCTCACGTCGTTCACATGAAAAAGCAGTAATAAAAATAGGAAAAGTAATCTGTTTCAGTACAGTTTGTCACAATAACGAATAACATGTCGATTTGGTCAAAGGAGATGATTGAAAAACCAAGAAAAGACAGATGGATTGAAGAAATATTGGCGCATAGAACTATGACAAGGTAAGTGAAAAATCAGTCTCCAATTTTCACTTATTTTCATCGTTTGTTTTTGTTTGTCGTTTTGACAATAATGAACAACTGGATTATTTTCCAGTAAACTTAAGATAATTTATTCGGAACGATATTTTAGTTCTGGAAAAATGAATGAATTATTCCAATAAAAGTCCTTTTACCCCCCCCCCCTGATACAAAAATAATTTCATTGAAATATTCCAAAATAAGTGCAGGAAAAATGTTATGTATATTTTTCGTAATATTAGACAAAATTTTCTTAAAATCGGAATGTTTACTATTGTGACGCGCTCTTAAGGGATTTAAATAGGGTCAAAATAAGTGAAACCGGCCACTTGAAAAATTTTTGTCCCCGAATTGAAAGTTATCTATGGTTTTTGATAGATATATGAGTAAACTTTTACCCGCTAAAATATTTTTCAAAAATTTTATTTATTTTGAAAGTTATCAGGTGTTAAACTTTTAGGTTACTTTTTATTCTTTTCATTATTACTCCGAAACGAATGAAGATAATTTCAATTTTTTTTTTGGAAATTAAAGCTAAAAGTCTGTAGTTTAAAGTGCAACTGAAAAAATTGCTGTATAATAAAAATTTTTAATTGTTATTAACAATTATTTTAAACAATTGCGATTTAAAGTATGTTCTCAATGTCGGAAAAAAATCAAACTATACTCATGTGATGCGCAAAACTCTAACGAGTAAATTAAAAAAAAAAAAAGTGAGTAACCTCTAAAATTACAGAAGTTATGCATATTTTTCTGACGACGCGCGGGAATTAACTGATTCGCAAACTCTCGAGCGCGCGGGAATACGCCCGCGCCCGCGCCCGCCGCACTGCTCACACTTGTGTTTTCAAACAATTTATGTTTACAGAGAAGGAGAAGTAATTAAAATATTATTTTCTTACTGAATAGTTTATTAATATTTTTACTTTTGGAGTAATTATATACATAAAAACCATTTTGTATGTACTCATAAACTGCTTTGCAGTTTTTATGCTTTGATAAAAAACTTTTTTCGTGGGTCTGATATTCTTGAATCGTACAAAAATCGAAATCGATATTGTTTGTGTAGAATTTCATCAAAAAATTTTTTAAATAATTGGATTTCTAAATAAAATAATTGAATCATTTGTCACTTCTCCAAAATTCAATTTTTATTAGTGTTTTAACTGAAATTTCTTCTATAAATTCGCTATTTTTAATAATTTATTATTTCTTAAAACTGTATTCCCATAAAGAATTTTATTAACAAATTTTTAAATAATTGAATTCTTTGAACGAGTTTTAATAAAATGTTTAAGAATAATTATTATTAAAAAAAAATAAAACAAAAAATAAAAATAAAAAATAAATAAATAAATAAAATAATAAATAAAAAAAAATAATAATAATAAATAATAATAATAATAATAATAATAATAATAATAAATAAATAAATAAAATGTTTAAGAATAATAATTATTCTTAAACATTTTATTAAAACTCGTTCAAAGAATTCAATTATTTAAAAATTTGTTAATAAAATTCTTTATGGGAATACAATTTTAAGAAATAATAAATTATTAAAAATAGCGAATTTATAGAAGAAATTTCAGTTAAAACACTAATAAAAATTGAATTTTGGAGAAGTGACAAATGATTCAATTATTTTATTTAGAAATCCAATTATTTAAAAAATTTTTTGATGAAATTCTACACAAACAATATCGATTTCGATTTTTGTACGATTCAAGAATATCAGACCCACGAAAAAAGTTTTTTATCAAAGCATAAAAACTGCAAAGCAGTTTATGAGTACATACAAAATGGTTTTTATGTATATAATTACTCCAAAAGTAAAAATATTAATAAACTATTCAGTAAGAAAATAATATTTTAATTACTTCTCCTTCTCTGTAAACATAAATTGTTTGAAAACACAAGTGTGAGCAGTGCGGCGGGCGCGGGCGTATTCCCGCGCGCTCGAGAGTTTGCGAATCAGTTAATTCCCGCGCGTCGTCAGAAAAATATGCATAACTTCTGTAATTTTAGAGGTTACTCACTTTTTTTTTTTTAATTTACTCGTTAGAGTTTTGCGCATCACATGAGTATAGTTTGATTTTTTTCCGACATTGAGAACATACTTTAAATCGCAATTGTTTAAAATAATTGTTAATAACAATTAAAAATTTTTATTATACAGCAATTTTTTCAGTTGCACTTTAAACTACAGACTTTTAGCTTTAATTTCCAAAAAAAAAATTGAAATTATCTTCATTCGTTTCGGAGTAATAATGAAAAGAATAAAAAGTAACCTAAAAGTTTAACACCTGATAACTTTCAAAATAAATAAAATTTTTGAAAAATATTTTAGCGGGTAAAAGTTTACTCATATATCTATCAAAAACCATAGATAACTTTCAATTCGGGGACAAAAATTTTTCAAGTGGCCGGTTTCACTTATTTTGACCCAATAGCCAAAAAGCAAGAAAATGAAGACAAACATAACCTATAAATCGCTTCCTTTTAAAGTTCGTTTTTCAGATTTCATGAATATATTTCTAAAATAGGGGAGAAATATTACTTCGGATGAATAATAATCTCAGAAGAAATCAGTATTTCAAAGTCATAGACTTGATAAAAAATATATAAATTAAAGAATCATATTTAAATAAATAAATGTTAATTAATAAATTGACAAATATTAATTGACAAAACTATTTATTAGTATGTTATAATAAAATTAGGAAAATATTTAATGATTGAAGCTATCACTCGGCAAGTTTTAATAATTAAGTTGAAATTAAGAAAATATTAATAAATTTAATATAAAAAATACAATTTTTTCATCGAAATGAAATATTGAGAAAAAATTATCGGAAAACGGTTTTACAACAAAATTTGTATTTTTTATTTTAATAGTTTTTATTTGATAATATTTATTTAATAAATTATTAAATATTAAATAATTATAATTTTGAAAATATAAATGCAAAAAAGATTTTATTTTATCGAAAATTTGTAATTATTGTTTTGTAAAAATAGGCAGAATATTTTAAAAAGTTATTTTGAAATGTTTGAGGGATAAGAGAATTTATGTTAAAAACGACCCTCTTATATATTTGAATAACAATCAGATTTATGAAGGGGGTTCACAAATATTTTACTAGTATTATGATTTATATCTTATTTGAGCAATATATTTATTTAGATTTCATGGATTTCTTCTTTTTTTGTAAAAAACATTTTTTTTTGTTTTGCTTTGAAAAATCTTAATTTTATAAATTTAAATACAGCGTCCAATGGGAAGTATCAGACAATCCCTTGAAAAATAAGAGGAAATGGATATA